GTTTTATGTATGCATTTTATTTGTCGACTCCTAACAAGTTTCCCGATATAACCATAACTCTGAATATTTGCTTTTTACTTTTAAATATTACTATACGTTCGACTAGTAGAAAGATCAGGCTGATTAAGTTTTGTAGGTAAGTAATATGTTTATTATTGGTTTATATAGTGTGTTGACCAAATTTATTTAATATTTAACTGTTGATATCTTTTCTTGGGTTTGGTCTCTGAACCTAAATATCTTTCCTTATCCCTTTTCTTTTCTAAGGTTTCTTAATTTTCTCCTTAAACCCCAAAAAAATTGAATGGCGCCCTGTTTCTATCTTATCGTATCTTTGGTACATTTACCCATCTATCTTTTTGTTTATTTCTGTATCTTTTCTCATATATCTTATCTTGTCTTATCTTTACTTATTTTGTCCGTTGGACCCATTCCCGGTTTCAAAAGCTAGTTTCGAACCCGTGACTCGCTCTCCATCAACCATCTGGCTGCCGTCCGCAGTGTCTCTATTGGTGACCTTTCTAGCACCGTCCAAAAAAGGTTTCCGAGGTTACCCATGTAACTCTAAAATATCGGTATGACAGGTATAATTTTTTTTCTTCTTAACTGGCAAGGTTATTTTCAATTGCTTCCGTAAGTGTCCAGACTTCAATTCTATAAAATGGCAGAGAATACGTAGTATTTCAATACTCATATTCTAATTTCTATTACCATTTTACATTGCATAATACTGCTTTCGTCTTATTGAAAGCGCTTCTGGCTAGCTTAATGCGTCGTTTTATTTTAAGGATGCAGCCCCATTGTTCATTTAACTCAAATCCCAATTAATTCTATCTGGGTACTTTCTCTAAAGCTTTTCATTCAACGTAGAGTTTTTCCTTTCTTACTGACAATCATGATATTTGAGCACGCATCTCAAGGTAACCCACTCTCCCCTATATTTTGGTCAAGTATTCTTTTCTTTCTTCTTCTAGTTCCATGACCGTTATCGATCGTTAGATATTATGTTGGCTACCATATTCGCTATCGTAACTTTATTGACAGCAGCTCTAAATAACGATGTAGTTGATTTTCCATACCATTGCCTTAGATTTTTCAGCCATGATGTTCTTCTTCTACCAGGACCACGATTACCTTGGATCTTTCCCTGAATGATCAGATGTAAAAGATCATATTTTTCAGGGTGTCTCATAATATGACCGAAGTATTCCAGCTTGCGTTTCTTTATTATATTGACCAGTTGTGTTGTTTGGTTCAGCCGTCTAAGGACCTCGTCATTTTTAACTCTGTCGACCCAGCTTATTTTCAGTAGTCGTCTGTATACCCACATCTCAAAGGCTGTCAAGCGTTTAAGCATAGTCTCAGTTAGGGTCCACGCTTCTACTCCATACAGCAGGACAGGAAAGATGTAGCAAGATATCATACGAACTCTAAGGTCAATGCTAAGATCATGACTGCAAAGCACGTTTCTCATTTTTACAAAGGCAGCTCGGGCTTGTTCTATTCGGCTTTTAATTTCTGCGGTTATATCCCAGCTCTCATTGATATTACTGCCGAGATACACGAGTTTCTCTACTCTGTCCAGTGTGGCATCTCCGACTTTTATACCGTCATCATGTATATAATTTTGTTTGCTAACTATCATATATTTAGTTTTCTTAACGTTGAGTTTTAATCCATACTGATCACAAGTCTGTTTTATTTTGTTCATTAGATTTTGAAGGTCTTCTCCGCAATTGGCAAGGACTAAGGTATCGTCGGCATATCTAATATTGTTAACGGTTACTCCATTCACAATAATACCTTCGGTTGTCTCCATTAAGGCTTCCTTAAATATTTCCTCCGAATATAAGTTAAAAAGTAAAGGCGACAATATACAGCCTTGTCTCACTCCTCTTTTTATAGCCTTATAGTTTTATACCCTTATTTCATCCGACAGTTCTTGTTCAACCTTTATTCTTGCCACTTGATGCCAGTATAGATTTGTAATTATTCGTAGATCTTTATCGTTCAATCCAGCTGTTTCCAATATTCCTAGCATTTTGTTATGTCGGACTTTGTCAAAAGCTTTTTCAAAATCGATTGCACAAATATACACATTTTGATTTATATCTCTGCATCTCTGTACTAGCACCTGTATACTAAACAAAGCTTCTCTTGTACCCAAGCCACTCCTAAACCCAAATTGAGTATTGCTAATTCTGTCCTCTAACAGCGTATAAATTCTGCTGTGTATTACTCGCAGAAAGATTTTCAAAACGTGACTCATCAGACTTATTGTCCGATAATCACCGCATGTCTTTGGACGATGTTTCTTAGGTATTGTGACAAATGTCGACTTTAACCAATCAGTTGGTAATATCCCAGTGTCATAAATTCTGTTAAAGAGATTACACAGAGCTTTAATTCCATTTTCTCCCAAAAACTTTAGTATTTCAGCACTTACTTCATCGGGGCCAAGTGCTTTTCCATTTTTTGCCGTTTGTATTGAACGTCTTACCTCACTTTCTGTTATAGATGGACCTGATATAGCAATCGGTGTATAGTGTTCTACTCTCTCATCTTCAAATAATTCAGAAATGTAGTTTTTCCATTCTTTTAACTTTTCATTGATGTCTAATATTCTGTGTCCGTTTCTGTCTTCTAAACTTTGGGATACTTGTTTCCATTTGTTTCCAGCGACCTCTTTCAATTTCTTGTGCAGATGAAATGTATCGTGTTTCTTTTCATATTGTTGAATTTCATTACATTCTTTACTATGAAATTGTGTTTTCGCGTGTCTTATCTTCTGCCTGATTATTGCGTGGATCCTCTTGTATTCGTTATCTTTATTTCTGACTTCTCTTCTTTTATCCATAAGTCTCAGTATTTCTTCTGTCATCCACCCTTGTTTTTTTCTTGCTTTTAGCGCACTCAATTTTGTTTCTTGAACAGTCTTTAAGATGTCTTTAATTCTCGTCCAGTTTTCCTCAGTACTTTCTTCTTTGCTTGATGTTAACTTCATCTTTTGTTCTAATATACTAGTTATTTCTTGTTTTACAGTATTATTTAGCATCGTTTCTCTATCAGTAGTAACTGTTTGCTTATTCGTCCTTGCAACTCTTTTTAATCTCAGTCTTATTTTTCCTACTAAAATATTGTGATCTGTTGGTACATCTGCCCCTGAATATGTTTTTACTGATATTACTGAATTTTGTATCTCTTATTTATACATATGAAGTCTATTTGGTTACGAAAAACTCGTTCAGGTGTATCTGCTGGTGATTTCCAGGTGTAAAGACGACGTTTTGGAAGTTTGAAAATTGTGTTCATTATTACTAATTGCTTTTCTACGCAAAAAGATGCCAACATATCTCCTCTTTCATTTCGTATTCTCAGACCATATTTCCCTATGACATCTTCCTGTTCACCTTCACCAATCTTTGCATTAAAATCTCCCATGATAATATTGAGATCGTGTTTCTTTGTAGGTGCTAATACTTTTTCTAAATCATGATAGAATTTTTCAATTTCTTCTTGTTCATAGTTTTGTGTGTAGTTCAATGTAATATGTTCACATTGATTGTTGTTGATTGTATTTGTATCATCAGTATCCTGTCTGAGAATAGGACGACGTTTTTTACAGCTTCATCTGTTTCCTTCGACACAATTATTGCTACACCATTTTTGTGTTTTGAGCTGTCTTCTCCTGAATAGTATATAATGTGGTCATCTACAGTTACTTTTCCAGACCCCGGCCATCTCATTTCACTTATTCCAAGGATACTTATATTTAGACGCTTCATTTCTTTAATGGTGTTATGAATTTTTCCTGGTTCGTACATGCTTCTTACATTCCATGTACCTATTTTTCTTTCTTTAGAAAATGTGTTCATGTTTCTAGCTGACTGGGAGATTCTTAGTACCCCTGCTCCATTTAAGGAGCGCCCGTACTCGGGGCCGTTGTATTTATCAGCCATTTCCATGATTGTTTCTTGGGAAAATTAGGCTCTAGGTGGTTTCCCGTTGCCTTCCTAGAGTGTGTAATAGAAGGAAATATAGTGACCCGTCTGCCCTCGGAAACCTAATAGCCATTCGGGGTCGGAAGAAACAAGAGTTAGCCAAGAGAGGCCGATAGGAAAGATTAAAGACATTTCACTCAAGACAAGTTGAAAAAGAGTGAAATGTGAAGGCCCTTATGATGCGCCAGGTGCGTTTCATAAGCGTATGAGTATTAATACACTTTGTTTTCCCGCTCATACCTCGGGGTATTGACTACAGACTGTATGGCTCGTCCAGCATGCCATAGCATGGAGGGAAGGGCGCATGACATTTTTTACAATGTAGGCACCTCAACTCCACGGTCTGACTTCTTTTCTACTGATGCAGAAAAGCGATGTATGGTATCGCTTTTCTAGGTAAGACTAATTATGTAATTTATAACTTAAAGGCTAGAAACGAGTTAAGAAGGAAAGAAAGCAACCTGCACAGGTGCTGACAACATCGTTTTGTTTTGCAATTTGCACTCTTAGGTTAAGTACCTGTCCATAGTTGCTAATCCTGATATTTTACATGCCCAACTACCTTTGGTTTCTGCTCTATTTGCGTGTATTCTAAAAACATACCTAATTTCTGCTTTATTTAAAATTGTCTTTGCTTTTCTTTATTTTATGTGATTTTCCAGGTAGCAGAACTAGTAATTGTAGCAGTTTTTATATATATCGGCGGATTCGAGTGATCCTGAAGGAATCTGGAAGTTTTCTTACACACATGCGAAATCTAGAACATATTTTCCTTTGTTGAAAAAACAGATCAAATAAAAATCTATTTTGAATATTATGGATTTATTTACATTAGATTTTCAATAATTTTTGTAACTGACATTGTAAATACAAGCAATTTAAAGTTTTAGGCTGCTTGAACTTAATACAAATTTTCTTTTATATGTTTATAAATTTATAGAAAATATGTCAGATGTCATCGCATTCCTGATACATAAATAACTTTTGACAATGATAACTTCTGAAACTGACAGTGACAAATAAATTATATAAAAATATAATAGCTCTTTCATGTTACAATATCGATAAGATGTGGTAGTCTGATACAATCTAATAAATAAAATGGCGAAAACTGTTAAACCAGTCCCTTGTGGTGCAACAAAAATGCCCATTGTAGGCCTGGGCACGTGGTTAGCTACTGATCCGGCTGAATTAGAAGTTGCATTGAACACAGCTTTGGAGGTAGGTTACCGTCATATCGATACAGCAGCAGTATATAACAACGAACATATAATTGGCAAGGTTATAAATCAATGGATCTGTTCTGGAAAATTAAAGAGAGAAGATCTTTTTATCACGACCAAACTTCCAATCCAGGGAATTCATCGTGATCGAGTGGAAAAATATTTTCATCGGTCTCTTCAGAAATTGGCAGTAGAGTACGTTGATTTATATCTGATCCATTTTCCTTTCGGAATGGCTGAATCTTCTGATACTGTAGTATACGAAGAAGAAGATCACAGAGGCATATGGAAAGTAATGGAGAAACAAGTTTATGCCTGTAAAGCTAAAAGTATCGGTCTATCCAATTTTAACAAAAGTCAGGTGGCTAATTTGCTAAAATTCTGTGATATAAAACCAGCTAATCTTCAAATTGAGTTGCACGTTTTTTTGCAACAACCAGAATTGGTGCAGTTTTGTCGAGAGAATGAAATTGGGGTAACTGCATACTCTCCGCTTGGAAATCCTGGTTTTAACAAATTTTTGAAGAGCAGGGGTCAGCAAGAAAGACAACTGGTCAACGTTTTAACCAACCCCGTGGTTGCCGATATTGCTAAAACACACCAAAGGAGTAATGCGCAAATAGCATTGAGGTTCCTAATGCAAAAATATATCGTTATTATTCCAAAAAGTGTGACACCTTCTAGGATCCATGACAATTTCGACGTGTTTGATTTCATTTTAGACGACGAGGAAATGAAAAGACTTGAAAGCCTGGATATTGGTGAAGAAGCTCGTATTGTCGACTGGAAAGTTTATCCAAATATTGAAAATCATCCTGCTTATCCTTTTGGTAAAGGTTGAAATCTCATGTGTTAATATTTTTAGTAGAAAATAAATAGAAACTTACTTTTCAGTGTGAGTGGATTTCTTTTGTCATATAGCAGACAGTGTTTTCATTCATTGCTTTGTGATACCGATTCAAGATATTTCAAACTAATTTTTCACGATCATTTCACTGTATTAAAATTCAATTTGATTTCTTCTTCCTTTCCTGATAGTCTTGATGAATATAAAATTCCAAATTGTATGTTAACAAAAACCCACCAAATTTTATTTGCATATCTTTTTACCAGTTTCAGGTCAATAAACGAATCGTTCCTTTGTAAGAACAATTCCAACACCTCGTATCTCTAAGAAGGAAGCATTTATTTATAATATAGCAAACTAATTATTTTTTATGTAGAATCATTTTCTTAAGTTAGTTGCACATATTTACTTAAACTTTACTTTTACTTTACTTTATTTAAAAGGACTAAAAACTAACACTTTGAACCTTTTTAACTCTTGATTTCTGAGTTTTGGCACAATGTTAACTTTCGATCTGCATGACCAAAGCTACCACTCTGCAAATTTTCAGCCAATTTAACTGAAACCACTTTTACATAATAAGAAAAATGCTGTCTTTTGTGTAAATGAAATCCATTTGAAAGCAATTCAAAAAGGTACTTAACAGTGCATATTGATAGATCAACTAACGACATCTTACTTTTGGGAGTACATAACTCGGGGGTGAGTGAGTTAAAAAAAAACAAAATTTAAATATTCAATAAGTTAAAAATATATAAATAGCATTTGCACATGCACAGAATTTAAGAAATATAAAAAGATTTATTTAAGATATTTGAGAAACAGAAAGTAACTATAGTCCCTTTCCATCATATTGATAGCACATTATGTATGCAAATCCCTAAACTGTTGATACGGGTGACTTAATGAAAAATAGATATTTGTCAACAAGTTTACAGAAGTATATAGGAAAACAATTTTAAATAGAGTATGACCACCAGGTATAAAGGTTGAAGCAGAATAGAATACAATAGTTTTGAGGGTTAATAATCCCTAAATAAAGTTGCCAGTGTCGGAGTGATGGATATTAACAGGTACTAATGAATTTGCAAGAAATGTAAGATGTTTATTTTATTGTTATATATAAAATAATTTGTGGCCGTAACAGGGGCCGATTTGTAAAAAAATGAATATTATTTTAATCAAATTCCATTTCAGATTCACTGCTTTCTTCAGAATCTAAGGAATCTTCAACTCCAATGTTAATTATTACCGGTTCCAGCATTGCATCAGTCATATCCAAATTCCAAATTTTATTTTCTTTCTTGTGAGCATGACTAACAGCAGTTTTTCAATTTTCTGGAGTTACTTTTGATAAGGAATGTTCTAATAATTGTTGTAAGTCTTCTAATTTAAAAGTTTTGTTGTGGCGTCCGACTTCACCCTTTACTTGAGACCATATATTTTCTATCGGATTCAGATCACAGTCGTATGGGGGTAAACGTAAAATAATTACATCACGGTTTAATGCCATTTCATTAATTATATATTTTTTATAAGTTGCTTTATGTTGCGTTACAATAGGTAATAATTCCTTTTTTGTCGAATTCTCCTTGTACTCAATTGCATGTTTATCTAAGCATCCGATTATCTCTTCTTTTTTCCATGCTGTTGTTGGCAATTTTTCTGCTAGTATTGAATAGTAACTAGCATTATCCATGACTATGACAGAATTTTTTGGAATTAAATCCATCATTTGCTTAAAATATTCTTCAAAAACGTCAGCAGTCATTTCCTCGTGGTAATCTTTGGTTTATTTTGAGGCAAAACTTAATAATCCACCATTGACAAAACCGTATTCGTTTTAAATATTTATTATGAGTCTGCGTCCTTTTCTAACGGGAATATTGTTTATTCCAGTAGATACACCTTCGATGAATGCCTGGTGGGAACTTTTCACATTTGTATCAACCCATAGATATGGTACAGTATGACCTTTATTTAGCCAAGTCTCGTCCAAATAAAAAATTGTTTTCCCTTCTTCTCGGTACTTTTTAATAGTTCTTAGATAATCTCGTCTCCAACATACAATGTAATCTTTTTCAATTAAAACGGATTTTCTTCTATTCTTTTGCCAACGAAATCCCATCTCTCTCAATAGTCCCTATAATTTCTTGTTGCTTATGATTGGTAACTCTTCGTTTTCTCTAATTAATGTTTGGATTTTGTCCAATGTTGGAAATTCTTTGTTAAAAAAAATTAGTGGACGCTGCGTCTTATCATGTTTTTATGTATTTCTTCAATTTCCAAGAGTTTGCTCCCTCCATTCTTCTTGGGAAATGAAACAATTCCTCCTTTTCTTTTTTTTAGAAATCTATAAATTATTTCTTCTCCAACCCCTGTCATATTTGAACACATGTTAACGATTTCACGAACATTACTTAAAAAGCGTTGATGTACAAGTGCATCGTGTACATTTAATATTATATTTTTCTCTCTTAGACTGAAGGTACATTTAAAACTACACTTAACAGGGATAAAACCTGTTGTCGACGTCATTTTTAAATGCAAATACCAAAATATCGACACCAAAAACGTAGGTAGGTAAGACATGAACAATGTACATCTACAAACTAAATGGAAGATGCAAACAATTTCTAATTTATGTTATTGGCACAAGCTGTAATTACTTATCAGTAATTCCAGGTAATCGTTCAAAGAAGGTATTCTTTTTGTGTCAGTCGATAACTTGTTTAGAAAACAATAATCAACTTTATTTTCACCTTTAAATTACTGTTTACATTAATTTATTTCGTGAACCATTGAATTCTCTCGTTAATCACCCGTGTATAACTAACAATAATCGTGTGGCTTATATACCGACATTTTTTACGCACAAAAACGGTATAGTTAGATTAGTGGACACTTATTTTACAGAAGATTTTTTAAAAGATAATCAATTGTTGACGGCATCTTAAAATACAAAAATTTGCTTACATAATGTGTAATATGATGATAACATGGGTGATGTTAGTACAATTCTGCCAGGAGGTAAAATTAGTAGTCTCAAATATTTGATTTAATACGAACATTAATTCAGACCTTAACGTAGTAATTTCAACTCCAGAAAAAAAACACAAGGACTTAACCCTTAAATATGTAAAACCTCAGAAGCTAATTACTTAATGTTAAAACTTTCGAGCACCCTTGTATAACGTCCAGGGACACACGACCGAAATAATCGAATTACTAGTCTACTGCATAACGGAGATCAAACAGAATACAGAGATTGAAAGTATATACGTTGAGATCGAGCAGCAAAGGCAAATATTATGATCTATTTGAATAAAAAAAAATAAAAGAAGTTACAAATGAATCGTGAAAATGCTCATGTACCTACTAGACAAATGACAAGTTAATAAATAATCAAGCAGAAGAACAAGAAGTAGAAGAAAATTCAGATAACAGTAAGAGAACATGAACCTAGCTCACCTGTAATAAAAAGAGTTTAGGCCGTAGAAGGAGTCAAAGCGGGCAATGCAGCAGGGCCAGATAGAATGTACTCAGAAATTTTAAAACTTATTAATACATTTAATATATACATACATATTAATAAACAACATATAAGTATATAGGACAGGAGCACTACGGACAACTAAAATCGATTTTCATACCTATCCTAAAAACGCCAGAAAATGCAAACAATTCTGTCTGATAAAACTTTGATTTTTGCGTCAGCTTTATTCCACTTTTTGAGGCGGTCATGTTGCGCCAACGTTGAGAATGATTATTCCTTTTGCTGCTCGATATATGCTAGAGCCGCTTCAAGGGCCTTTCACCCGTCGGAAAGAGAACTCTTTTGAGTTATCTTATTTGTATTTTCTTTCTCTTCATGGTTGATGTTTAAAACTAGATCGGAAAATGCGTCATCTGTCAGTTTTATTTCTTTTTCTCCATTCATCCAGTTGGTGATTTTTTGGTTTCCGATTGGTTGTTCAACTGGTAATTTATTGGCTAGGTTGGCTATAATAGTATCAACTTCACAGTCATCAGTTTATTTCTAAAGGTCCAGTCTTTTGTTTTCCATCTGATATAATTTTTTGAATAGTGGACAATTTTGCGTCGTCCCATAGATCCAATCCAATAGCAATCATCTTTAACCGTAATCTTCTTTAATGCGCCAATTACAGTTAGCCTGCCATCCAGCTAGTTAAGCGGTACCTTAACAAGCCTCTGCCGATATTTCCTCTTCATTGCATCTATACCGCATTGGCATAGGTGTTGGATAAGACACGTCACATTGGGTGAAAGGATCACAGCTTTTATGTCACCACTAATTAATTCACTCGCGCCTGAGTGGGATCGTGGGTTGTCCAACAACAACAAAGCTTTTGGAGACATATTTGTTTTTTAGATAGGTATCAATAACTGGTACAAAGTAAAATCCACAAGGAAAAATTCCTGTAGCTGGCTGTATACCACGTATAACAAAAAGAGGTTAATCTTTGTAAATGGGTATATTTATTTAAAAAACCCTTAAAAGGGCCACATCAATAAAACAAACGTTTTCGGACCACACAGTCCATCATCAGGTTATTAAAATCGAAAATGCTAGGTCATAATGCCTGAGCCACCAAAATATTAGGGTAAAAACCCTTTAAATTACATTTAGTTATGAAATGTACATTGTGTTATAAAATAATTGTGATGTTCAATATTAAATTAAATTTGACTAAAGGTAACACATGGTTCAATTGGGTTCCAGAGCCGGGTGAGAGGGTACCTCTGCACTCGGAGAACAACGTGGAACCACGTTCTTAAAGAACGCAAAGAACAATACATAAACTAGCTAAAAAGAAGTGACATATCACAGCTAAAGGGTTTGCAACTAGACGAATTAAACGATAAAATAATAACAGAACTACTAGAAGCAGGCCTGAAGATTGCTAATAAACAAAAGCGAAAACAACAAAAAATTAGTGCTAAATCACAAGATATGCTAAAAAAACGACGACAACTACTGAATGATAACAAAAGAAATACAGTGGAGTTTACCGAACTGAACAA